ATTATTATTATTATTATTATTATTATTATTATTATTATTATTATTAGAATAAGTGGTCAAACTACAATTCAGCTTATATAAAATAAATTTCCCTTGACAGGAAAACAAAAAAAGCAAAAAGCGTCTGAGTGCTGTGACCACTCAATGTAAAAATGGCAAGAATGCTGATTTAAATTAGACATTAGATATTTGCAAACACAATCTGAACAAAGTCCATCTGAGATAAATCTGGTATTTCAGTCAAGAAACTACATTTACACTGCTGGAGTCTTTAAAAGTAAAAAAAAAAAAAAACCTTTTAAAAAACATGCTGGAGACACGAGCTGTTGTTGGTTAGATGACTCAACAACAATAAGAATCAGAGCAGAAGTGTTCACCTGCTGGGGATGAATTAAATGCAGAAAGAGCAGGAGGATAAAGGAAAAGGCTGCTCAATATTCACTCAGTTCAAGCTTGAAGTCTCGTACGATTTCACGATCTAGACAAGAGCCTCTGTGATTCTCAATAAGCACCACACTTGAAGCAAAACAGAGAGGTGGTAAGGAAGGAAAAAGAAGGAAATAAGTGTTGACGTACAGAGAGAGTGAGGAGGGAGAGAATGAGAGGAAAGAAAAAGAGATTACCCTACAGGGGGAAATGGAAGACAAAAGCTGAGAGAGGCAGAGTGGGAGGATGGCAGAACCGGGCTCTTTTAGAGCAGCAGCACTGCTTAATTCCACTGCAGGAGTTCAAAGGGTTGTGTGTGTGTGTGTACGGCAAATGGGATCTTTAATAACCCGTGAGAAGGGATACACACATACTCACACACAAAAGAGGAAAAACACACACACATACACATCCGCGTGCACCAGGGCTGACATTTTCTCTCAGCTCCATTGTTCCCTCGGCCTGGCTCACCTTGACATCAGAGGCAGCAGGACTCATTACCAGCTGGGGTTGGGGGGGGGGGGGTGAATGAAACGAACTCATAGAGGGAGGAGGAGTGAGGACCAGGGAAGGAGGAAGAAGATCAGGAGGAAATAGGAAGGAGTCTGATGCTGAGATGAGCACCCCGATACAAGTCCCCCTCTTCTCCTACCCACCTACTTCCCAGCTGTGTGTGGACAGAATCTGAAATCTGTCAGCCTGACTCCACCGATACTGTCAGCTAGGTATGATGACCAAAATAAATACTTTAGTTTTGCTTAAAAGACCGTTTTTTTCCCCCATTGATCAAATTACCAGAGTTGTGATAAATGACAAAGCGAGCAGGACGTGGAGTTCAAACAGTTATAGCAGCTACAAACCACAAACAAACAGAAAAGATCCACAAATACCACAACTTAACAGAGAAATCCATCAAACGACTGAGGGAGACTTTCTATTCTCCACACAGGAGAGCTGCTCCGAAAAGCTTCTGCAGAGTTTGGCTGAGTTTAGAAAAAGAAATCTTGAAAACAACATTTATTATTGAAGTTTCAAGTTTTTTAGATATTTATCTTCAGTTATAAAGAACGAAAAATGTTACTATGCATTTTTATTATGAACAATACACTAGTAATAGCTGCAGTAATTTGTATCCTGACATTTTACACAATTTAACCACCTCTCACATACTGTATGTTCCTATATTTATCATCAAACCGACCATTTTGAATATGTGGAGGCTGATGTAATGTTATTTAGTTACAATGACTGATGTATAAATTTTAGTATGAGCCAGAATAAAATTTAACTACTATGTCCTACATTACAGCCTCTTTTTTTGGCTCATTATGTTTATTTAAACATAAAATGCAGCTTTGTTATGGAATGAGTTTGGCTCTGGGTCTTTCAATCATCCTTTAGCAGTACAAGCCAAAAGTTAACAAACTTAACTAATCAAAGATGTGCCTTGGTTTTTATTTTGAGTGATCCGGATCTGAATATGAGAGGCTCAGATTAGGGTCACTCCTGGATTATTAAGTTCCAGACTGGCTTAGCATACAGCTATCCCAAATCTTCCAAACAGGAGTGGGCTGCACACCTACCAAAGCAACAATTTTTCAACCTTGGAAACCCCTGATTAATGGAATTCTGCATGCAACAAACAAACATTCCTCAATTACAATTTTACACACAAGTATTTTATAGGAAACAGAGCAAACTTTAACTAAACTTTACAATAATGCATAAATGATTATTAGACTATCCATTACCTGGAGTTTGGTAGTTGAGTCTTCTCATCTCCACAGGATCAGAAGAGTTGGCTAACAAAGAGTCTTTCACTCCACCTGAGTGCTCATCTTTTGGTAAGGGCGATGCTCGCTTTCTGAGGTGGAAGAAACACACAATACGGCAATAATTACACCACACTCAGACTGTCTCGTGCTTAATACAGGCGTGCTAACTTAGTGACTGGTTCTGCAAGCAAACGGAGAGTAGAAATGACAGGATGATTTAAGATGACATCAATTATTACTCTCTGCACACACTTTGACTCATTCGCACACTTGATGAGGTTGATAGCACATTTAATGGCTCTCGAAACATGTTCTGAGGACCTGAAATCCAAGAGACGGTACATACGAGGGTCTTATCCCCATTAATTTGAGAAAAACTTGAATTTAATGCGTTTGAAGAAACACTATAATTTTGCTGGAGTGGGCTAGGTTGGGTTTGTTGCTGGGTAGGTGACAGCTGTTGTGTGGGGAACACGAGTATGTGTTTGGAAAGATTTAACTGTGTGTTTCTCTCTACTGCTGTGTATGTGTGCGCTAACAACACATTGTGTTTACTGGCTTTCCAGATTGAGAGGAAAACAGGCGGCTGCTGTAATTAGCTCATCAGCTGGGTGGCACAACACTGGATAATTAGAGCAGTTCTGCAGCACCTGTGCTGCCAGGCCTGGCCTAGCCGCGTCTAGCACAGCGCAGAACAGAACCGCGCAGCTTGGACCGGCTCAGCTCAGCCGACCATAGGTCCGTCCATCAGGCGGAGAAAGTAACCGCAAACGCAGCCCGCCTGTGTCCCAACAGGGAGCATCTGTTAACACACACACTGATGCACACACAGGCTCGCACACGTACAGCTGCAAAACTCACAAACCTCCTGACGGCAAATGGAAATGGGCAGAAAGAAGCGTCGAGGCGCCCTGTGGAAATTTCACATCTCATTGCACTCCATTTGCAAGTGGCGAGCACGGTTTTAAGAAGGAGCAGGGCCTTCTGTCGAGGCATGTCGTGGCGAGAATACACAAAGCCGGTGGTGCACATGCAGCCTTAACCTGGTCCACCCTCAGCTGCTGGAACCAGGGCCTGACCGCCACCTGTTATCTGGTGCTGCGGGGGGCTTAAGTTAATATGAGCGGCGTGACGGCTAATCTTTGACAAGCATCTCTTCTTCTCCAGCCGAGCGCTGAGCCGGACCGTGTCCAGTTTTCCCAGAGATCACCACAGGGTCCGGGATGGGCTGAGGGAGGGGGTAGGAGTTTGGCATCTGTGATCTGTTCTCTACACGTCTCATGTATCCCTCTGACCCAATCAGATGGCAATCTGCACATCGCTTTACTGCTGGCCCAAAGTAAACATGGCAGAAAACCCTGTGGGCTTATTAATCTCCTGCTTGAAATGAGGTTGAAGACGTGCGAGAACACACACACACGCACACGTATTTAACGCGAGTGCTTGTGTGAAGTAAAGGTTGTCGGTAATGAGGGTAGAACAGGGCCCTTTGTTAAAACTCCTGCCATGAGGAGGCAGAGAAAGAAAAAAAAATAGCCTAAAAGTGAAGGCATGAGTCTCGGTGGAAAATGTCAGCTTAAAAAGACGGGAACATGTCTTTTTGAACAGTTTCCCCGGCTGGCATTTACTTCACAATGGCCCATTCAGCAGCAGGTGATGCCTTGGCATATTCAGATGGGGCCAATCTTGAAGGGACGCACTGTCACTTGCTGGATAATGAAACACAGCATGGATACAAAACATGGCAGATAGGACAATCTGAGCAGGAACACTGGCACTAGATGTGGAACATGCACTGGAACATGAACGTGACCCGGGAGTTCCCCCGACCTCAGTCACCAAGGATTACAGAGTCCGCTGCCTCTCCTGTCTTACACGTCTTGTCCAAATCAGCCTGGACAGTTTTTAACGCTACTTAAAGGTTTTGTTGTTGTTGTTTTTTTAAAGCAGAGAGGGAGCCAACTCTGCAACCCAATGAACACATGGACACCAATTTCACAACACGAATGAGATGGATACATGAAGTTAGAATTAATGTTACCCACCTTTCCTGTTTGCTGCATTTATAGGGGCAAAAAAAAAGATAAAAAGGGGAGGAGTTAATGTGTACTTCCTACCCATGAACTTATCTTATTTCTGCATATATTTTGTTCTAAACCTTTGCCATCTAAAAATCTCAGCCAAAAATTTGTATGAACAGAAGAAAAAAAATTCAAATAATTGCCCGAGGCTTTTGAGAACAGTTTCATCATTATTTGCTGATGGTTGGTCTTGGTGACTCTGCAGGTACCAGTAGCAACCAGAGCTACTTTGTGATTATTTCTATGCACATTTACTGCCAGTACACAGTGAAAAGGGCACACAGCCTCCTCCCTACAGTCCCTTCTGTCAATCTCTATCTACACAGAGAAAGGACTTTCAGACAGAGGATGTGCTGCTCAGCAGTGAGCTGTCTCAAGGCCTATTATTAACCAGCGGCTTCTTAAGTCCACTGGAGACAGCGGCTGCACATTCTGTGGATGGCAGGTTGGAGAACAGGTACCATGTGAAATGCAGAATCTGTAATGGAGCTGCCAGGGCAAGACAGAATGTGGGACTTAATCAGGGCGAAGCAAAGATGAGTAAATAATGGTTTGCTGGTAATAGATTTCTGTTGAAATGGTATCTTTATAATGTCCAAATCACATTAACGTTTTAATTACGTTCCTCTGCTGAAAGACGCTACACTGGTACTAATGGGTCATAAAAGAAGTGTAGAAAAACATAATTATTTATAAAAAAAATCAGTTAATGTAAAAAAAAAATATGAAACTATTTGAAAATACTGAAAAACAAGTATTCATTTTAGCTTAATTTCATCAGCAACACGTAATTTATTTGGGTTGAACGTTGGTGAAATTGGCCCATTAATCATTTGATATATATACAATTAAAAAACTTTACTGTGACAAAGAATTTAAAGAAACAGAAACAAAATGAAACCTAAATGCAATTATTTTACAAACCTATAAATCATAGAGCTGTTTTACCTAGAAGCATAAGAACAGGATACAAAAATGTATATTTTAACAACCACAGATAATCAAGTAAATTATGTTTTGTTTGATTGTAAACTATGCTTCATTTGAATAAATTCTGGGGATAAAAAGGGCAGACATTATAAGATTTATTCTTTTTCTGTTACCTTTCATTTTATTTTGATTTGTGTATTTTCTTTGTTTTTATTGTATATAGTTCATTTTTAATGAAATTAATACATTTTTTGAATTGAACTGAAAGTATTGTTAAATTAAGACCCGATCATGAAACTGTTTTACTCCAAGCGGTACAATTCCTTGTTTGTCTGAACCTCCAGAGCATTTTGTTGGTCTGTTTGTAATCACGGCATACTGTGCAGAGCCCGCTCAAGTGCTTTAAGGAGATATTGACTGAGCTTTTAGCTAAGCCCTCTGCTGCAGCCTTCTGTTTCTGATTTAAAATGACCAACAGTGTTGCCGAAACACATTTTTCACTCCTATCTAAGAGCATTTGACAGCCAAGCTGTGATTTTATTAGAGCGGCTATGTCAGCTGCCAATTCTTCTGACACTTCACATAGTATTGTTGACAACAGCCAACTGGGCCAGAATCTTTTGTCTGAGTTACAAATCAATTCTTTTCCCATCACACTGTATACTGTGGTAAGGAAACTGGGTGTTATTGTTTGGATTGTGAGGAGCCAGCATCTCATTTCCATTCCTGATGCAACCAGGAGAAATCTACAATCATCAGTGCCACTGCAGTTTCACCTCAAACCAACAAAAAACGTCAAACATAAACACAAGCAGGAAGTTGTACTTTTTAAACAGAAGGATGGCGATCACAATGATGATGATGACGATCACTGCTAGTACCGGCCCCATGACCCACAACATTTCAGGCTGATCCATCCCGTGTTCTGCAGGCTTGATCTGGATCAGGTCTGAGTAGGGACTGGCTGAAAAAGTCATCTGTAAAAGAAAACAGAAAAGGTAAAATTACGCTACATGAGAGCCGAGTTTCTTCAGACTGAAAACAAACAACATGTGCAAAGTTTTCCTGTTATAACATAATTTATTCCCAAAGGGGTTTGTCTTGTCAAGTCAGACACTAAGGACAGAAAGAGAGTGACAGAATTGTATCATACAGCTCTTTCTGTTGCTAGAGTAACTGTATGCGCTGCAGATTTCTTCTTATGCTATTTTAGTAATGGGACACACTTTAAGGATGGAGCAAGACAACCTGCAACAAAGAGCACCAAACCCAAATGACACTTTCGTGAAAAACAACCATCTTGGCTACTGAGATGATTTTTTTCTATTAAAGGGATCCATGATTAGTTGTAACATTAGACTTATTTAATAAACATATATTTTAACTGTAAAATAAAGACTGTAAAAATTTGTAGGATGTTCAGTTTTTATAATTTTTTAAACTAAAGGTTTAAAATTAAATTACAAGGATGGGGCCATTTTATTTACACACAAAGCATTCTGGGTAAATGATGACGTGGATAGGTCCTCGGTGCGAGGTTTGCTAGTGCGCTATATCCACCCTGAAGGTTAATCTTGGACAATATCTGATGATCGACTCTTTTAAATGAAACCAGAGAGCGTTGACAGAGAGGAGAAGGTAGAAATGACTCAGCCTGTAACTGAAAATATGAATGGAGGACAACAGAGCTGCTTCATGGAAGAAGAACCTCAGTTTAGCCTGTTAGCTTTAGCGTTAGCCCCGACGCTATCAGCATATATATGTATTAGCTCAGTGCTACACATTCTCCTCTCATCACTGAGGTCCTCCATCCACATGACAGAGAGGGGAACGCAAAAATGACTCAGCTGCAACTGAAAATATGGATGGAGGACCTCAGTTTAGCTTGTTAGTTTGTCGTGCTAGCACCAAGCTAATACATATAAGGCAATATAGTGTTGGCGCTAGCGGAATTGCTAACAGGCTAAGCTGAGGTTCTTCTTCCATGAAGCAGCTCTGTTGTCCTCCATCCATATTTTCAGTTACAGACTGAGTCATTTCTACCTTCTCCTCTGTCAACGCTCTGGTTTCATTTAAAAGAGTCGATCATCAGATATTGTCCAAGATTAACCTTCAAGGTGGATAAAGCTCGCTAGCAGCCTCGCACCGAGGACCTATCCACGTCATCATTTACCCAGAATGCTAGGTGTGTAAATAAAATGGCTCCATCCGTGTTAAAACATATTTTTAAAAATTTTAAAAACTAAACAGCCTACAGTATTTTTACAGTCTTTATTTTACAGTTAAAATATACGTTTATCAAATAAAGTCTAATGTTACAACTAATCAGGGATCCCTTTAAGGATGAAGCAAAACAACCTGCAACAAAGAGCGCCAAACCCAAATGACACTTCCTTATGAAAAACAACCATCTTGGCTACTGAGATTATTTTTTTTTCTATTAAAGAATTTCAGTTTGAGGAGACTGAGACGGCTGATGACGGAGTGAGCGTTAGACAAGTAAGTGCGAGTGGTAAAGACAGAAAGGTGTGGATGAGTGCGCATGTCTTAGTTCGCTGAGATAAATGGGGGCACGGACGAGGACTCGTCTCTTCTTCATTAGTGTTCACACCGTGACGCAGGAGGAGGGGAAGAGAGAGGTGACGGTAAGGGTGCGTTTCCACCTTGGTTGTAAATGAGACATCTTCCCACTTATCGTCTCTAAATGACGGAGGGGGAGGGCTGGAGCGGAGGCACGTAGGTGTGTGAGAGTGAGAGGTTTTTTTTTGAGGAATGAGTTGACAAAGCGATGCAGGATGATGTTTAAAAAAAGGAGTCGCAAAAAGGGAGAATAACTGAGGAGAGCTAGCTGACAGATGAGAGAGAGGGAGGTGTGCGGCATCTGTCATTAGAGCTCAGCATGCCGCCTATTGAATGTTGATAGGATATGCAGGTAGGGGAAGGGAGCGGGGTGCACTGAGGGGTATGGGTGACAGATCGCAGACCTCGAAGGGAATTGGGCTCCCAGCATGCAGCAGGAGTGGTGGGGCAGCAGGCAGCAGTAATCCGCATCATTAGCTGCACAGTAGCCCGCTCTTTGGCACACAGGCAGATATTAATTGGAAAGATAAGCTGAGATGAGCTCAAAGAGTCCTGCGCTCTGTCATATAGTGCTGGTATCTCTTATACTCTTGGGCAACTGCCGGAAAAAATTTACATTATGGGTGTGTGCGCCTTACAGCATGTCTCAATCGTGTACGTGCAAACCAGCGTGCACTGATATTAGGCACAGACGCGAGATAACTCAAGCAGGAAAGTGAAAAGATTCACATTTTCATATAACAGCGGTAGCTTGCAGCAGCATTTCCATTTATCTTTTCCTCTCGCACATACAAACACACACTGTGAGATGAGTTTGCTGTGCTTTTGGGAGGAACCTATTATCTAAGAGCAAAGAGAAGCAGCACTGCAAAGGAACGCTGCTAGTGTGACGACACCTCGAGGCTTCCTGTTCTTTCTGGAGGGCCCAAAAGAGGCTTAGGGACGTAACCCTGCAGGGAATCCTGGGAAAATGTTCCCTTTTTTTTTTTGGCCATAGTAACAAATAACTGCAGCTGTTCTTTCAGAGACGGATAAGAGAGGAAGAGCAGGGAGAGGTCTGAACAAAAAAGAGAGAGCTTTTTGTCTGTTGGTCACGGCGATGTAGTGGGATCATCCATTTGAACGGCCCTAATATCTGATAAAAGCTCAGTCACGCAGCTAATAATGCTTCTGCCCTCGCAGAGCAGTATCACAAAGAGGCAGTGGTGCTGTGAAGGAATGTGTGAGTCTGAGAGTGAGTCAGACAGTGAGAGACATTAGTAGATCTCTTACAACTTGAATTATTGTGTCTTTCTGTGTGTACTTTTGGACAGGAACGGGTCATGAGAGGTTCACTTTCGTTACGTGCAATCCCTACGCTTTTAAGTATGGATGGCCAGAGTAGATAACGTTCAGGTATTAAGCTTTGTATTTTTGACCCCTGTTGAACAGCACTTCTGAGATCTGAAATGCCTCTGCAGCTGATGAAAATTCAACGCACATATTCACGCTAAGGCTGAAGATTTTCTTACTGTATTTTAAATTCAGGTTGAGGAAACACTAAACTATAAGAGGTAATTATAGTATGGTTTCCACATCATGTGTGGCTGCAAAAATGTACTTGTGCTCTTGGATGATCTGAAGTTGTTCATGTGCACCAGTTTAAAAAGGCCCCGACTGTGGCAAGCTTTTTGAATGCATGTATCTTTGAGGAATTTCATGTTTATTTTTGAGAAATATTTTTGTAAATATATTTATTTTAAATTAGCATTTTTGGTATAAATCTCTTAAAATAGATGTTTCTAACTGTATATACAGTTTTTATTGTGATTTTTATGTTTAAACTTGTATGAATGTTTGTTTTATGGGACTACAGATGGAAATGAGCATTTTGCTAAATCCGGTATATTTACGACAACATTGTGCCTTTATTAAGATGTACTGTCCCATTTAAATAAAATCAGTTAATCAATTAACTCTAATGTAGTGTTCATTTCACGTTATATAATTTCTATCTGTTTCTCTTTTTACTGTTCTTATATTTCTCTTCAACTTTTTCTTTTCCTTCTTTACTATAGTATTAAAAAAAGCCACTGATGATGCAGAAATTAAGAAACTAACATTCAGTTTTGTTTTCTACTGAAGTGGCAAAAAAAAAAAAACAACAACTCTAATGTAAAAAATTCACAATATTTTTATACTCCTCATGTGCTACACTAGCAGATTATCTTTATTTGCAATTGTGAAGTTGCAGATTCATTTTACAAGCAAATATGTGTGGAATTCATGGAAATTGATCTTATTTGTGCCTCAAATTTAGCTGTCATCAGCAACAACTGAAACAATCACAAGCTGTAACCCTATCATAGCTTCATCATAGTCGTATCTTTTGATCTGGAACTCAGACAGTCAATAAGCTTCTTCAAGTGTTTGAAACTCGAGTGCCAAAAGAAGTAGTAGTAATCCATTTTATTGAGTCAGTCTCATGCTTATTTCAGATTATCTGCAATTCAAAACTCATTTTCAGCTAATTTAGCTAAGAATTTTTCTCTATTGAAATAAGAAAAGGAATCACAGAGCTGTTTAAAAGTTTTGAGCACTGGACCTAAACAGATTTTATGAGACAATCAAAATGCAGAAAATAAATTGGATATTGGACAGAGATTTGATAAAGTTCTGGTAAAACCAGGTGAGAGGAGGCAGCAAAGAAAGCAGCACGTATACGGCAATTCAGTTCTGAATGAACGACTGCAAGTGTTTGGTTATTTCTGTAAGTGTGTATGTGTTAGAGTGAGCATACGTGGAACATCGGTTTGTCAAAACCTTTTGTCAAACTCCTCTGAGCCTCTACAAGTGAATCTGTTTGTCTAGGTTGCAGCCGCTGAAGTGTGTGCCTGTGTGTGTGTGCGTGCGTGTGTGTGTGTGTGTGTGTGTATGAGTCCAAGTGTTTGTCTGAGACACAGTAAGTGAACACAAGAGGGAGTGGGCGATGAGAGATGACTGAGGAAGAGACAGAGAGGGAGAGTGTGGCAGAGGTGTCATGGCAGCAGCAGATATCCAACGTGCTATCTAGGCCTGTGGGCTACGCAGCCTCTTCAGTCAGCCACCGCTCTGCCAGCCCCCGAACGCAGGGATCTGCTCCGCGCGGCGCAGGCACGCTTGTTTCAATTCATCGTTGACCCAGCTAGCTCCCCGCCTCTCCAAAAATGGCTTAAATAAGCCGCAGGGCGTGCGCCAGACAAACAAACACGCGGAGACGCCTGTTATGTATCTGCAGCTCACTCTGCCATCCCCGGGGAGGCTGAGGAGCCCACACGTTCCTCCATGCTGCAATGGCATAGTGAAAGCCAGAGCGGGAGGGTGAGGAGACCAAAAAATACGAGGTACAAAAAGTGAGGGAGATAGTCTGTCTTTATCT